AGGATGGAGAGGGGAAGAGCAGCCAATGGGCTGAGTTGCAGGCAGTATGGCTTGTGATCACCCAGGAGCCCTCTCCTATAGTTGTCTGCACTGACAGCTGGGCCACCTCTAGGAGCTTGACCCTGTGGTTACCAACATGGTACCATGCCAACTGGATGGTTGGTTACTAGCTCCTTTGCGGCAAAAGTTGTGGTGAGACCTATGGGCCTCTGGTAAGATTATGACAGTTACCGTATATCATGGGACTGGCCATTTGCCTTTGGCATCCCCAGGGAATGATGAAGCAGACACACTGGCCCAGGTGCACTGGCTAGGAGGAAAGCCTGCCTCTGATGTGGCCCAATGGTTCCATCAGTGCTTGTTGCATATGGGGCAAAAGACAATGTGGGCTGTAGCCTGTCAGTGGGGCTTGCCATTGACCTTTGAAGAAGTCAGCAGAGCCCAGAAGGAGTGCCTTGTGTGCTCTAAGAGGGACTGACACCGAGTTCCACAGCAACATGGGACAATAGCAAAGGGGCCGATATCCCTTGTCAGGTGGCAGATAGACTATATTGGGCCTCTGCCCATATCAGAAGGATTTCAGTATGCCATGACTTGTGTGGGCACAGCTACTGGACTGTTGGTTGCTTTTCCTGCATGTCGTGCAGATCAGCAAAGCACCAAGAGGGGCAGACAGCATCTCTTTGCAGCCTTCAGCCAGCCGTAGGGGATTGAGAGTGATCCAGGCACCCACTTTGCTGGACATGTGTTACAAGGATGGAAGCAACAATTAGGAATAAAGTGGAAGTTTCATGTACTATATAATCCTACTGGGGCAGGTGTGATAGAGAGGTACAATGGTTTGTTGAAATCTGGCCTGATATCGGACACCGATAGTCTATGGGGCTTGTCGGTTTACTTATGGGCAGTGCTATGGCATTTGATTGAGACGCCCCAAAAAGGAGCCTTGAGCCCTGTAGATATGCTAACCCACCTTGCTGCCTCTCCTTTACAACTGTATGTGCTAAGCAGAGAGGAGTTATTGAAGTCAGGACAGGGCCAGTAGAGCAACATCCTGCTGCCAGCCCCAACCATATTAAACCCTGGAGACACTGTTGAATGGACATGGCCCTGGACATTCCGACACATGGACCAGCAATGGCTGACCTTTCAGGCACCTTGGGGAAAAGGCCTCAAAGCTGGCCTCTTGTGTATTCCTGGAGTAACAGCAGAGTGGCCCCCAAAGATTACAGTGGTGTACCCAAAACGTCTGGGGAAGTTTGTTTTATCTTTATGGCCAGTACATGTACCTCCTGTAGCCCTATATATTGACCCATCCGTAACTCCCACAGGGAGGGGGTGAAGGTCTGGTGTACTAGACCAGGATGAGATCCTGTTCCTGCCACTGTCCTATCACAGGACTCTCTCTTGCATGCATCCTACCTGATGGACAAGATTTGCCTATGCTGGTGTCATCAAAACATGTATCTTATTGCCCTTAAGGTTATTTTCTTGTACAGTCCTTGCGGCTTGGATGCACCCCCCTGGCTGCAGCTGCTGTGTGATGATTGCTCTGAACTCTCTACCTCTTTAGCTACTGCCTACCTGTGGAATGGGTGAGCTGTGGACTTAATCTGCATAGGATTTTGATAGCAGCTGAATCCTCCAGTTTGAGGATTATCATGATTTTATTGGTGTTGCTATTGTATGTCATCAGTCTGATTATAACGCTCCAGTTTTCTTGCCCAGGGACCATTGCAGAAGAAGGGTAACAAGTAAATTTTAAGGTGAGATTTCTGGAGGGGTGGCCTGTGGGTAAAATGGCAGTATTTCCCAAATCTCTTGCCTGGCTTTAGTGCATCTCCATATCAATTAAGTGTTTCTAAGGGGTAGAGAGAAGTAGTTCATCTCTGTATCAGCCTGGGTGAAGGGCTTACCGGAACCTGAGAGGTTGGGGGGAGGATTCACTTGCTTCTGCCACAGTAGAAGAGAGAGAGGCTGGGTGGCTTTTTTGTAAGCAATAAACGGATTTTAAACTGTATTTCTCCCTTTGACTGATTTCCCTTTCAGCTAGGTATTTTGCCCTGGGATTTCCTCTCCCTGGAGTTAGAGATGGAAAGGAAGAACACATTTTTAAAAAATCCTTAATATTTAAAACTACTAAGATTTTATAAAGAATTATATATTACAACCTAAGGGGAAGAGAAGTATTAAGATAGTCAATTTTGGGGCTAGGGGATTAAATTAGGTGGATGGCAGTACTTGAGAGAGAGCGAAAGGAAGAAAAGTAAGTTTAGGGAGTGGGGAGAGGGGTTTTAAGCATTGCAATGCTGAGTTTGAAGTATTTGCAAAACACTTGCATATAAACATCTGGTAGAGCGGTGGACCATAGGCCTTAAATCTGTGAGCATAGCCTCTGTGAGAGCTGAAGAATGTGGGAGCTCGCAGCCTTCATTAGGAATTAAAGCTGCTACTTGGGAATTCCAAGGACTCTTTGGAGTTACAAGTACAAGAGTAGAGGAAGAATCTAAAGAACATCAATAGTTAAAAGAAGGCCAGAGAAAGGGGAATTGGGAATGAGACTGAGAAGGATTGGTTTCCCTTTCCTTTTTCTTTTCCCCATTATCAATGCTAGAGGAACGCTTGCCTGCAATTTTGAATGATTGAACTCTAAAATGAATTAGAACTTGCTAGTATGGCAGCAATTCTAAAAAGAGAGAGCAATAACCCAGTATGAACTCTTCCCATTATTTGACTAAAGGTACACAATTTTCTATGAAGATAAAATGGTAGTGAATTATGTCCAACTTATCAATGAGGTCATAATGTGCATTAACTCCCTTTTTTTTTTTTTAAGATTGAAAGTGAGAGAGAAATGAGAAGAGCTCGGGGTGGCTATGAACAAATGCTTCTCTTAATTCTTTCCATATCCACTTAAGACACTCCAGTGTTAGATGTGTTAGATGCTTAAACTATGTCACATTCACTCAAATAGACATTTTTAATTAGTTATATTTGGGTTATTAATTTAAAATGATATACGTATTTCCATTTTATAGTAAAACAACAGAACTTAATGTTACTGCTAATTTGTTCCCTTGCAATCCTTGAGTTCAGCACTCACACTACATTTATTTCACATACAAGTTATTCACAAATGGCACTTATACAGCCAGAAAATAGATTCTAAATCTGTGTTTGTTCTGCAGAGGAAAGTCAATTTAGTTTATTATTTCTTTGTACAGTTATTTGTGTTAAAGGAAAGGTGCATAAAGAGAAAAAGAGAAATCAAAACATTTCTCATCTCAAGTCCCCTGAACTGTTGAAAGCTGTGATTTTTAACATGAAATCTGAGCTCTTTCAATAATTTTTTTTTTGGGGGGGAATGGTAAAATAGATGCATATTTTCTAAGAATTTAATGATATAGATTTGATGAGTAAACTGGAGCAAGAGATCCTGTCATTTTATTAGGCTTGAGTTCCAGCCAAAACTGGTTGATAGATCCTTTAGAAATTATCCATTATCATCAAAGTATCCATTTGATAGTTTACCTTTCCAAAAATCCACTGCTGCTTTCTTCCTTTCAAAGGAACACTAAGCTTTTTGACATGAAACATTCTTTATATAGAAAACATCATTAGTGAATTCCTGGTGAGGAGCCATATGCCCCATATGTGGAATTTTCCATTTTATTCCCCATTTACTGGTAGGAAGTTCAGGTCTAATATTCTGAGGTACAACAATCCCTTTCATTAGAAGAGTAATGGACAACTAGTTCAGGTCTCTCCAATGGTAATTAACATTACACTTCTCTTTTGAAACTAATTTATGCCTCTGTTTCCCCACATGGAAAACTGGCAGATAATAAAGATCAAGAAAATAGTAAGTTGATCACTCTAAAGCTTCAGAGAATGTTTTTTTTCCATAAAAGTAAACGATACCACCAATCTCAGTTTCCAACCCACAGGTAACCACTGTTGTCAGTTGAGTGTGTATGCTTTCAGATTTTTTTCTATGATTTTATGTATGTATCTATAGAAATGAAAATGGTTTTCTATGTAATTTTAATATATATAAAATATACTATACATTAATGTACTAATATCATTTCATTCTTATAGGTACAGATCATCTCATTCTTTTAAAGTGATGCATGGAATTCTGTAATGTGAATATATGTGAATTTATTTAGTCATTCCTTTACTCTTAGACATTTAAATCGCTTCCAACATTTTTTCATTCAACAAACAAAAAAATGCCTCAGTAAACATACTGGTATGTGCCTCCTTCTGCAGTTGTGGGTGTTTTATTTTCTGGTATAGATACTGAAAGTGAAACTATGTGTCATGGGGAAGTAGTATTTTAAATATAATAGATATTGCCAATTTGCCTTCCAAGGTGATAGTTCCCCTTCATATTCCCTCAACCTGTGTTTGATTGTACATCCCCTCCATTGTTCATTTTTCCAAATTCTTGTTCCTGTAGCCATCTCAGACCTCATTTAGTCCATAAAATCTTTCTTGATGGCCATGATGGGTTGTAATCTCTCCCTCTTCAGATTAACCTGAACATTCTGTTCATTTATTCTTCTTTAATATCACCTTTCAGATTCTCTCTCTTCATGTAAGTTCAGGTACTTACCGTATCACTTCCACTTGATTTTAAGTTCTTCAGTGCAGTGAATGTTTTAGTCAACTTCAGCAGAAAATATGGGCTTTTTACATATAAAGCACCCCAGAAATATTTAATTTTTGACTTTTTGAGGAATTTCACATCCAAGTATACAACAGTTATATATTTTTTCCCACAGAATACCCAATTTACAAGATTTAAAGAATTGAAAACAAACTTTACCTTTGGAGGCTTATGGTTTAAACAAATCTGGAGAATGGGAACCTCCAATACTATTTTATTTTGTACCTGTCTACTTTATTCCTTCTTCTTTGTTTGATATGAAAGAGTTTATAGAGTTCACTTCAAAATGAAAACTTCTCCCAAGTCATGGGTATTTCTTAATTACCTTGAGGGGCTGCCTGCAGTGTCTGACCTAGAAAAGGCTCACTTGAAGTGCATCCAGCAGATGTACAAGCTGTAAGCGTGAAGCTGTAGTTGGTGTATGGCTGGAGACCTAGAAAGGAGCAGACCAGAAATAAAGTACATCTTGAGAGGATTATTTATTATCAATTAAGCACCAGAAGTAACATGCAGAGTTGTAGATACAATCTCCAAAAATTTTAAGAGCAGAAAATACTCTCTAATGGGGATATGAATCCCATAAGCAGTTCAGTATTAGAAATTTCATTCATCACTGATGAAATAAATTCTCAGCCTTACAAGAGACCTTAGCATTCACATCATCCATCCATCCATGTTTCTCTTGATTCCCCTTCCTGAGTTGTCACTGAAGAGGCCATCCTGCCTAGGCCACGGGAGGACTCCCTCTCTCACAGAGCCCATTCTGTCTTTAGACAGCTCTAGAGTTCTCCTTATTTTGTTTGAATGTCCTCCCTCACATTGTGGTTAGCTCTTACTATCACTTGCACCCTTAGGGACATGTAGAACAAATCTAATTTCTTTTTCCACATGACAGTTCTTCAAATATTAGGAGACAGTTATGAAATCCCCCCTGAATGTTCTCTTCTCTAGGCTAACTATCCCAGTTTCTGCAACTGCTTCTTTTATCAACAAGGGCAGAAAAAATAAAAAGAAAGTTAGATTCAACATTTTTAAACCCCAAGTCATATTCAGCTCATATTAACACCAACGCCTCCCCCATCCCCTTTTAACTTTGCATTTCTTTGCCATGTATACGGGCCTATAGCATACTCCCTCAGACTCCTGTCGTGGTTTGGGGTGTTGGTTTTGTGTCTACACATAGATAAAACATAATTTGATGAGGGAATAGTGCTTATTGTTCCTTTTGTCTTCAGAGTATAATGTAGCCCAGCAACTGCTCAATAAGCTTCCGGAAAAATAAGAATGACAATCCATTTACAAAAAATACTGTATACTGTTAGGTTTCACTAAGCCCTGGCTGGTGACCTTGGGCAAGTTACTTAGTTTCTCTTTGCCTTGATCTACTGATCTGCAAAATGGGGAATCTTAGCATCTAGTTTCTAAGGCTGTTGAGAAGATGAAATGGACTATTCAGAGCAGTACTTCATTTTAGCAGAAGCAACCTTAAGACTGAGCAGCATTTGACAAGGAATATACTGAGGCTCGTATTTCTTGCTTTGATTCTTGGGAAAATTTAAGCAATGCCAAAACGATTTTTTTTTAAAGAACAGGACTTAGTTTATGTTAAATAACTGGGCTAAGTTGTAATATGGATCCAATGATGACTATATTAATTTTTCTTGAATTTTGAACTACATTTTCACACATGTTGTTCTTGGTGGGGTGATTTTTCCTGCAGAGACTTTCATGTATCACTCTGTCACCTTATGCACATTTTTGCTCAAACACTGCATTTTAAAAGATTTTGACCCCTCTATCTACACACTGCACCCAGCACTTTCATCCCTTCAGATTACTTTCTTCCTTCACATCCTTCAGCACTATCTGATGTTTTATTATATGTCTGTCTATTTATTGTTTGTCTCCCCCTTTATGGTGTAAACTACAAGAGCACTAAAGGATGCCTATCTCTGAAGGATACCACAGATTCATTTGACTAATGACAGGCACAAAGTAGGTGCCTGTTAAATGAATGAAAAGAGTAACTAACTGGTTTGTTTAGAATTAGAGCAGTGGTCCGGACTCTCTGCTAAGGCAGTAATGTTTTGCAGCTGCTCCTGGCTGCTCCAGGCTTCAGCTTGAAAACCCTTTGCGTTTTCTTATCAATTCAGTGATAAGATGCAGTCCTTATTTGATTGTAATCTTCTATTTGGTTGCTATGGAGGATTAACATAATTTTGATATTTACCTGGAATATGATGAAAGATCTAAGCCATACCCAAGTCATATAGGTTTGATAAAAGCTTATGGGTAAACGCTAAAGATTATAAAGTACAGACCTCCAAAGCAAAGGGAGGGAAACATTTCAGAGAAGGTCGGAGGCTGTGGTGGCAGGCTGGTTTCACCTGGGAGGAAAAAGCCTTGAAAAACGAGGTCGTGACCCTTGTAACAACATTGTATCTGAATATCTTACTTTCTCACTTAGAATGTAAGCCCTTTGAGAGTAAGGATGATATCTTTTTTTTTTTTTTTGCCCAATATTGCCTACTTTAGGTGTTCAATGTTTGTTAAATATTGTTAAAAACCAAGCCCCCAAATTTGCTGCCAAGGTTGTTGGGGCTATGTGGCAACCATGTTCCTAATACTCTTCATCACAGGTGTGGTCTGACCAGACCCTTTTTCATAATTCCATAGGTATCCCTGCCCACGGCCTCTGTTGCATTCATGGGAGATGATGCTCTAGATGCAGAAAATCATCAAAATAATACAAAAATTAATACATAAACAATGATTATCTTCTAGATTTTTTTCTGAATGCTAGCTTTAAGTATGATTAGTAAAAATGAAGCAATGCTTGATTTTTCTCTGGAATGTTCAAACCAAAAAAAAAAAAAAAGACAAAGTCTCAATTCTCTTCTTCATTTTGTGTCTTGGCCAGTCTGATTGCAGATGTGCAATGACAGTTGAAGAACATTTTGGGACAGGTCTTAGGAAAGAAGAGAAAATTCGTAATCACAGAGGTGTACTAAAGTTGATGAGAGGATTGAGCATTTGCGGTGAGAATAGCAGCTGAAAAGAAAATCACATAAAAGGAGAAATTGCCCTTTCTTCATAAAATCTTTCTGAAGCCAATTGAGTGGCATCCGCTTTAGATGTGGCCCAGAATACTAGAAGACAGCTGTTTCGAGGTGGTACAAAGTGGAACAGCTAGCTCTTTAGGAATGTTTGATAGACTGGGGAACGTGTGCCAAAAACGTTTGCTCCCTGTGTTTGAATTGGATGGAGTGGGTTACCACCCCTGCAGGGTACGGAGCCCGGGCTGGTGGAGGAATATGTATCTCTTAAAGTACTGGAGAACCAGATGCACGAAGGCGGATGTAGAAACTAAGCTCTGGGTAGAAAGCATAGGTCAGAAGGTCAGAGGAATCCAAAGACATCACCAATCAAGAGAAGTGGATGTGGTGAAATGGGTAAAAAAAACAAAGATTGGATAATCAGAAAGATGAGAGTGGGAGGCATGAGATGAGACCTCAAGTGAAAGAGGGAGGATGATGGACTTAATTTAATTTTCCGACAATTTATTCTCAAAAAGCTGTTTTCCCCTGAAATGTGGGCATGCTGGCCAATTTAAAGGGCCGTATTGGTGAAAGGGTAGAAGTACTTAGGTTCATTTCAACTGACATTTACCAGTTTGTGTCATGCAACTCCACATCTGCTCTATTTACCTTCCAGAGGCCACTCATACTTCTTCTTAAAACAAAATTCAAACTTTCTTGGGTGAAAATCAGTGTTTTGGCCACTATCAGTCTTTGTGCTTTGTTCAGATTTGATGCCACTTGGAATGAGGAGCGTATGTAGACCCAGGCCTGAACACAGCTCCACATTGCCTTTGCAGTGTTAGCAGCTGAGAACTGCGTCTGGGACCTCATGCAGGCCAGTGAAAGACAGGCTTTGAATCAGAACTTCCATGTGCACCGCTGGTAGTTCTTTTTCACCACATAGAACTTGAGAATGGAGGTGAGCTCAGAGAGTAAAACAAATTGGGTCTGGAAATACCATTTAGTGGTCTTGAATGAGCCATACCAAAAGTCTACACCCGAATTTTTAGTTTCATGAGCCAATACAAGTCTGTTTGTTAAGGCTGTTTGAAGTGAGTTTTGTGTGACTTAGAAAAAAACAGTTGTAAATGACACAATTCCTGTCATTACTAATAAGGTCGCATGCGGATGCACAGGTTCAGAATCTTGTATGTTACACTTGGGGGTCACAGCAGCTATTATTGCCCTGTTCTTGGTGAACTGCCTTTATACAAGATAGAGTTACAAGATATGGGAGAGAGAAGGAGCAAAAACATGGAAAGATTTGGTGAAAAGGTGAAGAGGTCTCAACTTGAATATCACCAGAACAGGAATTACTATTCCCTCCTTATCAGTTGTAAAACTGGGGCTCAGAGAACCAAATGTTCACACAGTCCTTGAACCATCAGGTCAGGATGGAGACACACACAGGATACAAACACCAAGCCCTGTGTTCTTGCCATATCACATACAAGTCACAGCCAAATACCTTGAACTTTTTCAATGATTGCTTTCTCTCTGAAGATTGAACAGCATTTGAAAGATGTAAAAATGGTAGAAACCATTGCAGCTGTTCTTAAAAATGAAAGAAATATGTTGAAAGGACCTAGTTCAATCATTGAGTCAATACAAAAACTATAAAGTAAAACTGGCGGTGGTTTGGTTATTCCATTTTCTCTCCTCTTTTCTCTGGATGCTATACACTAAATAAATATATTTTATGAGAAATGCAGTTTTTTTTTTCAAGGAGGTTGGTGAGTCAGTTACACATATAACATTAGCTAAAGTTTACTAAACACTTACTATGTGCAGGCTTTCTGCGGACTTCCTGGGCATTAACTTGTTAAGCAGGGAAATAGATATGAGCAGGGTGGAAAAAGAAAAAGGCCAGAAAGTCCACTAAAAAGGTCCAAAGTTAATCAATTAAAGCTCAAAAAGCCAGGAGCAGCTTAGCCTGGAATGTTTGAATATTCCCCAGATAAAGGAAGGTTCCTTAGCATAGTCCATGTCCTTATTATGTTAATCCTGCAGGCCCAGCTTATTTTTTTTTATCTTTACCTATCTGCTGTTTTTCTCCCCTTCCAGCCCTAATTAAGTAGTTTGCAACCGAGGCAACTAACTTAGCATGCAGGCCCAGCTGTAAACAACATAGTAAAAGGTAGGAAGGATTCCACCTTAAAGATTGTATTTTAATACCCAGGAAGTTAAAAATGTAATATTCTTAATTTCCTCTTGGGCAAACAGACAATAACTCAGCCCACCTTAGGGGCTGGGCAGGCAGCCTGTTTGATCTACTCCCAGACCAAGACTCAGGTATCCCAGGGAGAAATCAGAGCAGGAAGTTCCTTGTGTTAAGTTAATTCTAAATATTCAA